GCTGGCACTGCCACAAAAGATGAGCATTTTATGTTCATAACTTTGACTGTTACCTTCAGATTTTTAGGCATGGCAGATGTAATTGGTTTATGTTTAGAAAGTATATGGAATTTATAGAGAGTAGAAGGAAGAGAAGAGGTTTTAAAGGAAAACTTAATTTTTAAAAACTTATGCTCTACCTTTCTCAGGTGTCAAATTGAAAATATTCAAGTCTGATACAGACTGCATGGGGGTTGTTCCAAAAACTTTTCCTCTTAGGTGGCACGTCAGGCAGGCTCTATAAGTGGAGCTATGGTGTGCATCACCTGCAGCATTAGTGAGATAGAAGACTCTATCAGCAGGGCTGTGGGGTTTTCTTTTGTAGTTGCATCCAGCTGTCAGAAAACCAACACTTCAGATACAGGGGAGATCTGTAGGTTTAGGGTTCTCCACAGTAGAAATTGTTCTGTGAAATCATTTAGAATGATGATAATCATTATGATGATTGTCATTTATATATTGTGTTTCATTATGATAATTATCACTAGAATGATGATTATCATTAGATAATCATATGGCCTCTCTCTTCTTTCTATAGTTTAATATTAAGCTGTCTTGAAATATTTTTAAATGATTAAATAATTAATTGAATTTGGAGAGGTAATACCGTTTGGCATCAAGTGATGTTGCTGTTGACTATATGTACTTGTGTTCCATCCTCTCTATTCTGAGTAACAACTGTTTGCCAAGTTAATGCTGTTAATGTTGTTTTTTCTCTTTTTAGGGCCTCTATGGCAGTGTGATTGTAGCAGGAGGAAACACTCTCATACAGAGTTTCACAGACAGATTGAACAGAGAGCTGTCTCAGAAAACTCCACCGGTAAAGCAACTCTTTCAGTTCCTGCCCTGAGTACTTACCATTTTGCTTTTCTGCCACATAAATGCACAAGCATTAATGTATCATAGCCTTGACTGTGTTAGGAATCAAACAGCTGAACAGATTTCTGCAGGGTAAGAAATCTCCTTCTCTAAAGAAAACAAGTTTTTATACAGACATTTTTATACAATATAAATTCCAGTATTTCTTCAGTATTTTACTGCTCCACTCCTGCTTTCAGATTGTGATCCTAAGTTCTGCAATTGTCCGTAAGGAACAGTATTTCCCTTGATGGCCCCTCTTTTGAAGTGTTGCTGACTAATTTGAGGCACATTCAGTCATTCTGCCTGAGGTCTTGTCACTTTGTTGTAGGAATTGTTTTTCCTCAGTTCTGCAGACAGCTCAACTCATTCATAGAGAAAAACCTGGTGATTTAACATACCTGCATATCACTTAATGTCAAAGCATTAATACCTTACACCTGTGTTCTCGAAAGTAGATATAGCTTATAATATTTCTTGAATTTTATAGATTCAAGCTAAAATGTTCTTGTAACAATCTGAAATGATGAATGTTAGGAAAAACTGACAAAGGTAGTCATTCACTGCTGAGGAGGAACCCATTGAAATTCAAAGATTTTATTGCCACAAGGTGTTTTGAAAACAAAAAGAATAAATGGTTCAAAAAAAAATTAAATTAATGAAGTCCAGCAACAATAGACATTTAGTGCCAGTGCAGTGTTGGAGAGGACAGTACATACTGTGATATTATTGCTCTCCACCTGCCCTATCCTCGCCTTAAGCATTTGCTGCTGCTCCCTGTTGGGAGACAAGGTAAAAGCCACAACGTGTCCTGTTCCACTGCGACTGTTCTTGGATTCTAAATAGAGGGCAGATGAGCAGTATTGCACATGTAATAAAATGGACCTTTTCCACCTGCACTTTGGTATATACACCAAGTTCCTCGTGCTGCTTGTCCCTGAAGGTGACCAGCCTACAGTTGGTCTGATGATTTTGTTTTGCCCCCTTTTCTGCTCAGAGCATGCGCCTGAAGCTGATAGCGAACAACACGACTGTGGAGCGGAGGTTCAGCTCATGGATTGGTGGCTCCATTTTGGCTTCCTTGGTTAGTAAACCTGGCTTACTGTGTTTCTGTGCTTAAGCAGAACTGTCACCCCAAAGTCTAATTCCCCATGAGTGTGTGTTGCAGGGTTTGTGCTCACGTAGCCTTGGCCACCCTCATGGTTAGGTGAGGAGGATCTATTTAAAAAACAGGCATGAGCATTTCCAGTGAAAACATATCCCATTTTTAATGGAAAGGTGCAGGCTTGAAATACAGCCTTTACATGTATCTAGTAGGCCATGGAAGTAGCAAACATGTTTCTGCATCATGTTTCTGAATTTAATTCTACAAGTTACTGAGTTTGTGGGGATTAATTTATCAGCATGGAAAAAGGGAGATTGAAATCAGCATTTGGTACTGCATGTCCTGTCTTGAATTTAATCACTACAAAATAAAGATCAAGGAAGAGACAGTTAAGCAGGTCAAGTCCTATTACCTCAATGTAAGGACTTGTGTTCCTTCCTAGAAAAAGCTAATCATGTTTCAAATTAACCTTCATTTGTTTTCTGATTAATTTTTTTAATTGTGTGTTGGTTTTGGTTTTTTTTTTTTTTTTTAATAGGGTACTTTTCAACAGATGTGGATTTCTAAACAAGAATATGAAGAAGGAGGGAAACAGTGTGTAGAAAGAAAATGTCCTTAAGACCTCTTACTGTGAAAACTGCTGCCTGCTCGGTGCTCCTTCTGTTTTATAGCTTTAGCATACTCAGGAATGGGATGGACTCTTTTTTGTAGAAAGTTTATATTGGGTTTTTTTGCATAATTCAAGTTCCATTTTAACAAACCTTAGAAATTTTGAGAGACCTAATTGGTACTATAATAGAAAAAGGATGTTTACGTCCCTTGTAAAGCAATAATTCATGTAACAAGCATTTTATAATTTTGTATAAATGTCTATTTTCGCTAGTATCTTTTCCTGGGAACAGCTTTACAGGTTAGCTAATAGATAGAGGCATAACCTTGCAAATGCCTGTGCTTATTTATTAAATATTTCTTGTCTACTTTCACATACTAGTCTTCCTTGCTGGTACTTTGGCCTTAAATTGCTCTTAATCCTCTCTTAAAAAAATAAAATTTGGTCTTTTGTATTTGAGGAGCTTTGTGAGTACTTGCAGAGAAAGTTACTCTGTTGTTTTAAAAGTTGAAAGTTTGTATTCAGTGACGTAGTTGGTGTAAGCTTTTTCTGTCTCACAGAAGTGTTACATTCCATTGAGTGAATGTTCTATTAAGCACTGGTTTGCTAATTTTTTTGTTAACGGAGCAGATTCATTTCAGTCAGCAATCACTGCTTTCCACCTGCTTTCTAAGAATGTATTTAATGCCTTTGTGATGTAGGTGAGAAGCAAAACTTGTTCAAGCGGGGGAAATTGAGATAAAAAAATTGCCTCTCCAGGACTGGGAGAACAGGAATAGAAGCCATCAGGGTGTGGCTTGACGTTGCTGCAGGGAGCTGTAACTCAGAGGGGCAGCCTGGATCCCTCGGGAACTCCCAGCAGGGTCTGTAAGTGCCTGTGTTTGCTTGGGGAAGGTGCTCTCAGGGTCACAGCAATGGGGATGATTATTTTTTTCTTGAGCAAGAACTGGCTGTCAAGATGCAGCTCAACATTGCTGTTAAGCTTACTTTAATTTACAACTGTGTGGTGGTCTGTTCTGGGACACAGGGAAGTTTTGCTCCTTATCTCAAAAGCTGTGGAAAACCAAATAGCATTTAACTGATCTAAAAAGAATAAACAGAAAGTAAACAGTACTGCTACATTTTTATATCCTAAAAGACCTTCTGGGTAAATATGAGGCCTCTATTTGAAAAGTTTCACGTTACCTCCAAACAATAAAGTAATTTATCAAACCAGCTTGCTTGTGTCTTTATCGTAACCAGGAACTGCTCTTGAAGTTGCTCGACCCAGATTTTCAAAGCTATTGATAAACCATATTTCTCTCAAAATGAGACAGACTGCAGTCAGCAGCCCTAAGTGATCTAAGTCACCAGCTCTTGTCATTTGGAAGAGGAAGACTCAGTCTAGTTCATATCCAGTTGGAATGTGGAATGTCAGCTGAGTTTGTACCTTGGCACCCTGCAGTGAGTGATGCATTTTAAGCTTTCCTTCTGTGACCTGTGCTTGGATTTCATTTTGTCAAACCAGCTTTCATCTTCTGGGTATCCTAAAAGAATTGCTGTACGATGGTAATGTCTGTGAATATTCCAGCAGCAGAGGGAGAGCAAAACACTTTTGGGGTTTTCTCATTACTGTAAAGATTTTGTGTTTTAAGTTTTTGTGATGCAGAGGAGTAACTGAAGGTCAGAGTGATGGAAATAGATACTGACAGGAAACAGTACGGGTTCCCTTGCAGTGTTTTACCAGAGTATATTGCTGGGCACATTTTCTTCCTAAAAGACTGGTATTTGTGCCTTTGGTCTAAATTTCTAAACAACCTCACGAGGAGGTGTGAATGCTTTCATCAAGTAGGTGTTTCAATCCACTGAGAGGAGCAGTGGTACCTTCCTACTTCAGTGTCAAGGAAAACTCTTGCGATCTTCCTTCAGACATTTTGCACTCTGCAAAAAAACACTGTACAAGTGTTTGAATTTGTCATAGAAGTCTAGGTGTGAGGACTGCATTGTTAAAAGTTCCCATGCTGAATATTTCATACTCTCTAAGAAGCCACACTTAAAGCAGGAGAAGAGTTCCTCACAGCAGACTGGAGAGCCTGTTTTCCAGTGCATTTATGCAGAAAGCAAATGTACCTTGGGTAACTTACCTATAACTCAGGGAGAATGTTCAGAAAAATATATCAGGAAAAATATGAACAGGGCAAAGGCTCATGTGAGGTTCAGATGCTTTCAGGTTTCTGTCTGGTTTTAATGCATCTTTGTTAAACTAAGCCAGGTAAACACCATCCCTACACTTAAATACTGTCAGCTGGCACTCCGCTGCCGCTCTTCACTGGTGCTGATGGATGTCTCACAGCTGCTGGCTAACACATCATTTATCAGATGTTTCTAGAAACAACTATCATGATTTCAGTTAGACACCAAATCTGCTTTTTAATTCCAGATCATGTTTATTTAAGTCAAACGTGGTATTAAAAAAAAAAAAAGGAGGAGGCTCTGGAATGCTCAGTGGAGTTGTTTGTGGTTTCAGAACATGTTTCGTGTTCACTCACAGACACCTGACCACTTGCCTGCAGGGCTCTTCCAGCAAGTTACTGGCTCTGAGACTTCAGAGCAAGGTGAGGGAACTTCCTTTCCAAGACCTTCCGCCTTGTCCTCTCCAGGTTTTGCCTTCTTTCCCTTTTCCTTAAGAATTTTTCAATTCTGAGTCTAAAACAGAGAAGTGAGTGTGGTTAATTAATTTCCACACAGCTTTGGACCACCTTCACGAGCTCGCCCTCTTAATCAGACAGAGGCTCTTGGCAATTAACAGCTTCAGAATTCATTTGCTACAAAGCAATTCTTTTTGCTTTCTGCTTTTGAACTGTACAGAAATTCCCCCTCTGGTAGACCTTTGGTAGTCTGCATGTGAAGATTACTACTATTTTTTTCCTTGTAAAGGGGAATAAGGAGGACCGAAGAACAGAACAGAAAATAACCTTCAATGTAAAAAAAAAAATCTTTTTACCTGATGAAGTTATTCACAAAAGGTAAGTAATAGAATCTCTTCCTTTTGTGTCTTTCGTTCAAGTACCATGGTATCGGCCATTCCTTGAAACTGTACCTGTTGGAGACACATAAAAGGGGTTACAGAATGGTTACAGGGGTTACACTGTCTTCATTCTGGGGTTCTACCAGTTTCTCCTGGTTTCAGTACATTGATAAAGTGGTCTGGTAGACTGCAGAATTTGTCGGGGTATTTATTTCCAGCCCTTGCTGGCTTAGTTTGTAACAGCATCTCCTGTGTAGCTCAGCCTCTTTCTGTAGAAAGTGGTCTTGCTTTAAAAACTGGAGATGTTTGAATGCTGGGCCCAGTATAAACAGTCCTTATTTGTAATTTTAGTTTAAATTTAATCCTTCATAAGAAAACCTCCCAAAGCTGATGTGAACAAACAGTGTCCAAAGAGTTTTGTTTCTACTACAACTTTCTTTTATGTGCTGGTGTTGGAGTGTCCTGTCAAGTGCAAGTCTGCCTTTCCCCTAAATACAGACTCTTATTTCTGTCCAGGGTTCCTCTTGCACATGGGGCTGCACAGATGGTTTGTGCAGACTCACCTACAGACTCCAGCGCATCCAGAGAGTGTCAGACCTACTACCACGTGTATTCCAGAGTTTCTGCCTGTGCTTAATGACCATTCCATGTTCTCTGCCCCCTCCCTGCTTTAACTGGGGACTGGATATAAAATATATGGGCAGTGCCTTCTTTGTGGACAATGTTTCCAAACAATGGAAAAGTCACCATTATTGTAACCTGTGTTATCTACACTGATTTGATCTTCTGTTATCTACAGTGTTACTGAAGAGCTGAACCCTGTAATTAAGTGCTCCCAATGCCAATATGATGAGGGTGAAATTATGGTTAAGAAATTAATAGGTTCTGCCTGAGCCTTCAGCATCATCACCTGAAATTACAGATTACTGAAAGTATCTGGACAACAAATAATTCAAAAGATAGCAGCTTCTACCTAATAGTTAAATATCAAGAATAGTAGGGAACTCCAAACAGCTGTTTGTACTTTGTCGTCCCCGAATATGTGGATTTTGCATTGTAAGTAGGAAAGTCCAGATGGTTCAACTTGAACAGTACTCCCTGGTTCAGTCATGTGTAACAGAAAAGATGCAGTAGCAAACATCTTCTGAGCACAAAAATCAAATTAGTTACATGAAACTAATTTTGTTATAATTAAATTTTGCCATTGAATTATTTAGCAACAATTATAACCACATTAAAAAAAAAAAGCACCAAAAAACTCAAGAAGCACCTGAATGCTGACCAGAAAATGCATTTGGTTCTACACAATATATGGATCCTTCCCTGATTAGTTAAGGATTTTCTGGTAGAGACTCACCACAAGAAAAATTAACACAGAAAGAAAAAAAGGTTTTCCATACCAGAAGGTGCGTCCCAAGAAGTCGTGTCTCCACTCTCCAGGTACTGGCTTTTCATGGCCAGTTTGTAAAAGCCTCAAAGCAACTTCTCTTTCTTTCACAACCAAATCTATATTTTTCATAGATTTTTCTACCTGGAAAAGGTAAAAAGGTTTTTTGTTGGTAATGAGCCAACAAAAAACAACACCGACAGTTTAAAAGATCTCAAATACAGACCTAAAATTTAAAAGAAAAACAAAGGTAAACCACAAAAACCTCACTTGAGAGCAGGACAGATACAAAATAACTGATGGTCTGATGTTTGTTTAAAGACCAGCTGGCTAATGCACAAGCCAGATCAAGAGCTGATGCTGGAAGTACAGAAAGCTCTGAGGCAGGGGTGGGAAGGAGGCAGGGGAAGCCAACAGAAGATTTGCTGTATGTATTTCTGCCGGGTGGTTTGTACTGGCTGTTTGTTATTTTAGTTTTCACTGTGGAGTCTGGTCCCAGCCCCAGTAATGCCCACTGGCCGATGAGAAAGCTGCTGTGACCAAAATATGACTTGAGCAGTGTTTGTGCATATACTAAAATCAGGGAAATGATGTAAAGAAAAGGTCTTTAACCAGTCTACAAACACTTTCATCTTCCATTGAGCAATTTTACTTAAGAGTTGTATTTTTATGTAGCACAAACAAATTACCTTTTCTAACCGTTCTGGGCTTGGCATAGGCTTGAGTTGCCGTTTTGCTTCTTGCTGAAGAGTTAAAAGCATGTTTCTTTCTTTCAGCAGGACATACCTAGGTCAGAGAGCACAGTAACTCAAAAATGACTTATGGACACCTTAGCAGTTATTCACTTACTATCCTGTTGGATAGAGCACAGGAAAATCCCATCTCCTGCACCTGCTGGCTTCATATGAAGAAGCAAAAAGGTCCTGAGCAATTGGAGAAAGCCCAGTAGAGGTGGGGAGGGGAGGGCAGACACGAAAGGAGAGGATGAAGGAGACAGGTTTACTTAGCCCTGGCTTGGGAGGGAAGATAGTAAGTTGTCTTCCCCTACCTAGTCAGAGCCAGATTCTTCTTACAGGTGCACAGCAAAAGGAACAGATACAGAAGAACAAACTCTTCACAGGAATGATTAAGTGCTATTTTAGCCCTGGCACTGCCTGGAGTGGTGATACAACCTCCAGCCTCAGAGACTGTCCAGATCAGAATAAACACAGACCTGAGCACCCTGATCTAACACGCTGCCTGGCCCTACCAGAAGGCACTTGAAACCAACTCTGTCCAATTCAAACAACCCCTGGAGGGTTCAGATTCAGCATCTTTGTCCCAGACACAACTGTCCCACAGCCAGCTGCAGCAGAGCTTCTGTGTTCTGAGCAGGGCCAGAACAGGGGCTGTTCCAAGCCCCCAGCAGGCTGGAGCCTGCAGAGCTGGGTGGCAGACTGAAGTTACTGGCTCATAAGTTCACCAGCCACATTTTAATAAAAAGCGCAGAGCTGCTTTGAAAGAAGGGAAGCTTCTTCACTACAACTTACTTACCAGAGTTTGTGCAAGTCTTCACTGCTCTTGCCCCTCAGCTGCTTTATATTCCATGCCTCCCCTGTAAAAAATAAACAGAAACAAACCCCAGTGACTTAAAAGAACAAAGCTCTCTTATTCCGAAAAAGAAAAATATGTGCTTCTATTAGCAGGCTCAGCTGAATCAACAGAACAAGAATCATTTAAAAAAAAAATACTACCACTTGGAAAGCTATCCTTGGTGATATTCAGCTTTGCTTTGTTTATTGGTGTTTCCAACAGCCTGGTCATAGGGAAAGCTGTAAGATGAATCTGCATTGAATTACTTTCGTTCCATAGGACCATATATTTCACCAAAGAACATCTCTTCTGTGACACATTCTCACTTCAGAGCAAGGCAGAGGGTTTACAGCAAAACATTTTGCTGCCCAATAGCTATTTGCTTTCACAAACACTGAACACACACAGGCATAAAGATGCACTAACAGATGTATGTATATATACATTTAGAAAAGTAAGCTTTATGTAGGTATGAATACTCTCTGATGCAAAAAAAAACCAGGTCAGATTTCAGCTGAGCACAAGTGGCTCGAAGATCACTATCAGAAATGCTAAATGTAACTCACCAGACTTGACGCTTTTTTCTCCCCAGTTTCCTGGATCATCAAAAAACTCCTCCAGCCCTCTCCGAGATACAGTCGTGTGCAGGAACTTCACCTGATGGAGGGGCTCAGCTTTTGGCAAGTCCTTGTGGAACAGGTTCAGCGCCAACCTGCATAGAAATTAGAAGGAAAACCATGTATGGTAAGAAAAATAACATTCAGCTGCAGGAGAATGTTTGTTTCATTCACAAAGGCACAGGACCTATAACAGACCACGGGCTGGGGGGAAAAGATACGAGTTTGGTTATTCACAAAAATGTCATCTCTGTGTTTTCTTCTCCCCCTTGTCTCATCTAATTATCAATTTTCTATACTCAGAGACAAATAGCATTTGATAATGAGATAATAACTTCGAGCTCTGTTGTACAAGAATACACCACTGAATCGTCAGGGTTGGAAGGGACCTCTGGAGATCCATCCAGTCCAACCCCCCTGCGCAGGCAGGGTCACCTGGAGTAGGTGACACAGGAACGCATCCAGGTGGGCTTGGAATGTCTCCAGAGAGGGAGACTCCACGACCTCCCTCGTGGCCTTAATGGCAAACGCCGCGAACACACGGTAAAGCACAAAACCCCACTGGAGCACCGGTACAAGGACTGCAGAACCGTAACAGGCACAGGGGGAACCTTCAAACTGCCCTCACACGATGCCTGAGGCCACACACCACCCTGCAGCCCTCAGGCTGGAGGAGCAGGACACACGGACACCAGGACACACGGACACCCTCCTCCCGCCAAGGGCTCTCCTTCCTCCCGGGAACCGCGCCCGCCTTCCCTGGTGCCCGAGCAGAGCCCCCGCAGTGCGGTCCGTACCCGAGGGGGCCCGGCTGAGCCCGGGGCAGCCGCAGCGTTGCCTTGAGGCGCCGGCCCAGCGCTCCCACCACGGCGGCCGCCGCCATCGCCCCGCGCCTCCCTCAGCGCCGGGAACAACATGCCCTTCGCCAAGATGGCGCCTGCCCGGCTTCAGCCCCTGCCCTCAGTTAGCACCGGGAGCACTAGGAGAGCTCTGCCCTTTTCCAAGATGGCGGCGCCCGGGCTTCACCCCGCGGAGGGAAGCAGAGCCGCCGGCCCCGCCCCGTGCCAGTCCCAGCCATGGCGGCCATGAGCCGGCTGCTGAGGGCGGCCGCGGCCTGGGCGGCGCGGCGGGCGGGCGGCACCGCCGGGATCTCCGGGATCTCCGGGAACACTGGGATCGCCCCCCGCCTCCCCGGCACCCTCGGTACGGCCTCGGTTGGGAAGCGGCGGGGCGAGTGTGCGGGGGGCGAGGTGACCTTGGGGAGCGGGCAGGAGGCCGCGGGGAGGGCCGGGGGCTGAACGGTGCCGCGCGTCCTCGTTCCTGTGGAAAACTGCCTTTTTCTGGGTAAAACACTGATGCAAATGGGCGGGATGCTGACCTTCTTGGCATGCTTACTTGGCCCTGTAGGGTGACATTCAGTGGTTTACTTGTTGGGACTAACAGGTGGAAGCAGATCCGCCTCTAAAGTTAGGGAAAAAATAGTATCGTGCTAGCAAAATAGGAAATTAGTCCAGATGAATAATGATAACCTCCAGAAAACCAGCTCATAACAACTCAGCCACTGCTCTATAGTTGTTTTATTTCTTTCCTCACGTGTGTGTTTGACCTTGTCCTGGCATAATCACCAATGGGATACACAAACATAACACTTTGGTTCGATTTTCAGTTCCTGTACGACACAGCAGCGACCATGGGAAGAGAATGTTTATTATCAAGGCAACAAGTTTTTATGATACTCGATTTCTGAACTTGTTGGTGAGTTAAAAACAAATTTATTGCATTTGGTGCAACACATTCCTCGAAAATGGTGTAAGAGTGTCTAAAATACGATTTTCTATATTTTTGGATGTGACAGAATCTAAAATGCGGTTGGCACTACTTGGACAAACAAGAATTGGAGGTCCTCTTTAATGGCTTTTTTGTCACGTGCTGTAAAATCAGGGACAGATGAATTTAAAAGACTGGCTAAATATCAAGGGTTGGGATAGGTACTTAAATTACTGCTGTAGTAGCATTCTTGAATTACATATGGGTGTTCCTATATGCATAACCCACAATGCTTTCCACTCCATCCTCCTTTTTGAAACGTATTAGTTACCCTTGCCTTCAGTTACCTAAACCACTAACACCAGAGGTGAGATTTAGGAAACCTGACCTGAATTTGACCCCTCAAAAGCCAGATTTTGGGTAAAGCCTATTATGACAGGTGACAGCCAGTTTGATCCAACTCCCTTCATGGGATCAGGCTTCCTTTATCTGCCTTGCACAGCCACCAGAGCTGGTGCTGGATTATTGCATTGGTGTCAGTGCCTCATTCCAGGCTCCCCAAGATGCTGAGGCAGCGTTCAGGGAAGTGTTGCTGTCCCTCCTATAGGGACAGACTTTGCTGGACAGGGGAAAGCTGCACTGAACAGGCTTCTGGACTGACACAGCATCGCTCTTTGTGTGCTCTGCTTCAGTAATTAACTCTTTTCAAACAGCAACGTTTACACACAGCATCCCTTTCTAACCTAACAATGCAAAGCTAAGAATTATTGGCTGCTGCACCATTTTCAGACAAACCTCATCTGAATTTTGCCAGGGTTCTGAGTTTCCCATACTGTTTGTTTTTATCCCCTCTGCAGAGATTCTACATATTCCTGACGGGAATACCAGCAGCACTGTTCATAACATATGTCAACATCTTCATTGGTGAGTGCTCTGTCGTGGCTAAGCAAAGTACAGTGTGAAAGTTATTAAATGGGAACTCATGATGCTGGATTTAAAAAAAGAAGAGATCTTTTAAGGTTCTCTCTTTGGAAGACCGTGAAATAGGCTTAACAGTTACAATAATACTGTATAAGTGCATAGAAGATGTTACGTTAGTTGTTGCTTTAAAAAAAAAGAAATATCCATCTTTTGACAGTCTTTCAAGCATCAGTGAAGTTTAGTGAACACTTCTTCTTCTGTGTTCATGTGAGGGGTCTGTATTGCCTTGCTTTATGTACTACTTTAACAAGACTGCAACTGTCACCTTTTATCCAGCAAAGATGTCAAAATTCTGGTTGGCAATACGTGTGTTGAATCTACTGCTGTAATAATATGTGATTAATTTAATAAAGAAATTAAGAAAAATCTATGCTTTCAGCTCCTGTACTTTAAAGGGCATTTCTGTGGACTTGATCCAAGTTGTTTCTTCAGCATAGCTGATAATTTCACCCCTCTGATGTGTGGCTTGTGTACACAAGTGGCATTTGTTGTGTCACTTAAAGTCTGTGAGCTACAACATGATCTATACATGCAGTGGGATGTGCCTGGAAAACATGGCAAGTCCAGTTAGAGCTCACACTGAGGGATTAAGCGCTCTCCGTGAGAAATAATGATCTTTTCCTAATGTGAAAGGCAGAATATAAGGTAATTCTGAAAAACAATCATAGGATTAAATATTCCTCCCCTCCTTTCCTCGTCAGGTGAAGCCGAACTTGCAGAGATTCCCGAAGGTTATGTTCCAGAGTACTGGGAATACTACAAAGTGAGTGTAACATGTAAGAGGGTGGCATGTTATGGACATCTCTTGATGATACACTTGGGAGGAAACTTACTTTTTTTCAGCTTTATGGGCCATGCATATTGCTGTAGGAAATCTGTTTATTGGCACAAGTAGGTGCAAATGCTCTGTAACTTTATGCTGGAGATCTATGCCAGGAATTCATAGCATGCATTTCTTGTCTTTGTTTCTTTTTTTCAACATCTTAAGAGTTTAAAGTGACATTCCTTTCTTTTGTATTGTTTGCCAGCGTTGTTTTAAAGTCCAGTATCACACATGCTTTTATATCTAAAATTGAAGGTATTTAAAGTCAGAAATTCAAGGCTGTATGTGTTTAATTTCATAGTATTTCCTTAAAATTAGTCCCTGGCTTCTTGCTGCAAGCACTGTTTTGTTTCTGGTAGGAAGGAGTTGAATTCAGCAATATGATTGTGACTGTTTCAACTCAATTAGACTTTTGTTCCTAGTGAAATGTGAAGCAAAAGTTTGAAATGTTACTAATTACAGTAAGGTTTGGAGTCCCATTTCAGTGATTACAGTGGCAGTTTAAGGAACTTTACTTCAACAGAAAGAAAATAAATCATGTGTCTTCCATTAACTTTTAATCTTGCTACAGAATAGCCATCTGCAGGTTATCTTGGCATTAAAAATGGCAAAAGAATTATGGCTTTTTAGGGTGCTGACCTCACAAATAGTTGTACATGTTTTTAACTTTACTATTATGGTTTGAATGGCAGCACTCACAATGTCTATGCCATCTTTTCAGGACTGTGAATATACAAAATTATTCAGTCATGGTGGCATTTCTACTTGGGAAATGAATAATCTCTGCATTTCTGTTTTCCAGCACCCCATCAGCCGCTGGATAGCTCGTTACATCCTTGACCCCCCTGAGAAGGACTATGAGAAACAGATGGCTTTGCTCGCCATAGAAGCGAAGAAGACTGAAATGAGGTACATCCTACAGCTGATGGCTTTAAAATACTGATGCACACTGTTGTAGCTGACTCTTTGATTTTGCTTAACCTACTGAGCTGGGTGCTGCTATAAAGTGCTGTCCTGTGTCACCTGACCCTGAGTGCTGCTGCCAGGGTGGAAGCTGCATATGTTGTCCCTGCCTTCTCAGTGTTAGGATTACCAGAACAATCCAAGGGCAGCCTTGTAAAATAACAGGGGCTCCTCAAAAGACTTGGTATTTATAAAGGTATAGCTCAGTCTTCCTGAGTCAGCAAGTGGACAGCTCTTCCTGCCCCTGCTATTGCTCACAGCTAGACAAGAACCTTATGACAAAACTCCTGCAAGTATTTTTATTACTCCTTTGTGAAACAACTTGAGTTAAAAAAAAAATAAAATGGAAGGATATAATAGCTCGTGTTTTAGTTGAACCCTTCACATTTTGGTATTACCTATGTTTGAGCAGTATTTATAAACTGTATATAAGAGTATTTACAAATGCTAAAGTCATTGCTGTTGTCAGTAATGCCCTGATGTTGAACATCAATACATCAATAAACTCCATGTTGAGTGTGTCTGTTCTTTTTTTTTTTCAGGCTGATGGAGCTGGAGGCACGCAGACTGATGAGACACCGGGGAGATGGACCTTGGTATCATTATGAAACACCTGATAAGAACCTTGTTGACAATTCTATGAAATCCACACCTGACAATTAAACAATTTTGGGACAGTGTGCATGGTCTTAAATGCATACTGACAAATTGTGACTGAGCAAAGGAATAGACATCCTGCTGTTCGCTGATGGAAATGAATAAAAATAAACAATGGTTGTGTTGATTCCAGTCATTTGAAAAGAAAGTGTGTGGCAGTTAAACTCATATAGCAATTAAAATCAGCAAAAGTGCCTTATGTCAGTTGGCAGAAATTACTCCTTCAGAACACCAGTGATGCTCTGTGACCTAATACATTTGAAACAAGTTGGTAATACGAGTTTTCTAGCATTTCTAGCATTTAAAGTTTCAAGTGAAAACGAGAGGAAACTGTAAGGTTTTTTCCTTTCTCAGTGCCTTGTGTCAGATAATTGGTGGAAGATGAACTAAGTAAGAAAAATACCTTCATATCTTTGCATTATTGGGATTATATCTACCACTTTAGACAAATACTTTTTCATTACTGAGGTTTTATTTCCTCAGATAGCTCCTGTGTTTTCAAAAGGCAGAATTACAACAAAAGTGCTTGTCCAGACCTATGACTATCTGCACTGTCAGATGTGGGAGTAGGAGGCAGTGGAAAGGTTCCTGGACATTAAAAAGCGTTTCATTTAAATTCATGTTTTAGTGATTTTTAGAGGATTTTATGAGTCTTAAGTCTTTCATCCAACTCAAGATACTGAAAATGGCCTCACAGTTTCCAGGCTAAAGTTTA